CATGGAGGCACACACCTTAAGTCAGTGTGCATATGTGTATGCGTGTGTCTGTGGGAGAGACAGATTAAAGCATTAAAGGAAATTATGAAGCTTAACATTTAATATGAATGCAACCACAAGGTTTAATAACATCTGTCTGAGCACAGTATCTGATCACCTAGCCAATTCCCTCCCTATTTGCAACGTTGGCACTGTGCCTTGTGTAAGAATTAAGTCAATCACATCTAAGGATGATTGGCAAGACACCAGTTTCTCATGCCAGTTATGTCAGTCCATCCTGCCCGACCTAATGTCCCCCACCCCCCATCAACACTGAAAATGGATGTCTGATCACTGGAAGATAAATGGTCTACGAGGCTATGATTTTATAAGCTTCTGCAAATGCAGCTCTGTTCAAATTCATCTTGCCTTTTATTTGTGCCGTCTCTTCTTCCAGGCATGGATTGAGAGGAAAAACACAATATTTCTGTTTTGTGCATGATTTTCATTTCTTAGATGGATTTCAACTTCGTGCTCCTGCAAAAAAGAGGCTGTCTATCCTGATGAAGTGCTAGATGTCACATTTTCACAGGAAGTGAAAATCTCAACAATCCTGTTTTAAGCACCACAAATAAGCATCTCTTGTCTGGTATCTTTATAGGTATCCATGATGGTGCATCAGCTATAGGTAGTCCTCAACTTACAGCAGTTCATTTAGTGACCTTTCAAAGTAAGAATGGCACCACAAAAGGAGACTTATGAGCGTTTTTTACACTTATGACCCTTGCAAGCATTCCCGTGGCCACGTGATCCAAATTCAGATGCTTCGCAACAGACTCATCTTTATGACGATTGCAGTGTCATGGGGTCACCTTTTGAGACCATCTGACAAAGTCAATAGGGGAACCAGGTTTTGCTCCACAACTGTATTATTAACTTTAGTGATTCACTTAACAATTGCGGCACAAAAGGTCGTAAAATGGGACAAAATTCATTTCACGAAAGTTTCACTTAGCAACAAAATTTGGGGGCTTCATTGTGGACGTAAGTTGAGGACTGCCTGTTCTTTGTGGATCTGACCAAGAAAGGAAAACAGGGACACTAATCGGAGTATATTGTATTGTCCTCTACAGTTGCAGCCCGATCCTGGAGGTCTAAAATTACTTTCTCTAAAAACGGGAGAAAAGCTGCCGAAACACGAAGTTCTTCTGCAGAGTTTGATAGTTATTTTTATTAACCCTTTGGCTGGGTTTGGAAATCTGTTTGGTAAAGAAACCAAATGCTGGTAAACATGTGGATAATGTCAAAAAGCCATCCTTTTTAATGGGGGATCTACAACGTTGTATTGCAGACATTGTGATTTTATCACACCTGAATCAGACACCACGTTGGGAAGGCAGATTGGACACCACTCCCTACAGAATAAGACAGAGGGGACCTTGGAGGTCTTCTAGTCCAACGCCCTGCTCAAGCAGGAGTCCTATACTAGTCCAAAGCCTCCAGTGTTGGAGCACCCACAACTTCTGCAAGCAAGTTGTTCCAATGATTAATTGTTCTGTCAGTAAATTCCTCCTTAGTTCTAGGTTGTTTCTCTCCTTGATTAGGTTCCATCAATTGCTTCTTGTCCTGCCTTCTGGTCCAGCTATGCTTATAGTTGCAATTTTTATTATTATTATTATTATTATTATTATTATTATTATTATTATTATTATTATTATTATTATTATTTATTTCATTTTAGCTGTAGTCTTTGGGAAGAGCTCATAGTACAGGTGAAATTAAAAAAATCAGAATACCATGCAAAAGTTCATTTATTTCAGTAATGCAACTTAAAAGGTGAAACTAATATATGAGATAGACTCATTACATGCAAAGCAAGATAGTTCAAGCCGTGATTTGTCATAATTGAGATGATTATGGCTTACGGCTCATGAAAACCCAAAATCCACTCTCAGAAAATTAGAATATGGTGAAAAGGTTCAATATTCTAGGCTCAAAGTGTCCCACTCTAATCAGCTAATTAAGCCATAACACCTGCAAGGGGTTCCTGAGCCTTTAAATGGTCTCTCAGTCTGGTTCAGTAGGAATCACAATCATGGGAAAGACTGCTGACCTGACAGTTGTGCAGAAAACCATCATTGACACCCTCCATAAGGAGGGAAAGCCTCAAAAGGTAATTGCAAAAGAAGTTGGATGTTCCCAAAGTGCTGTATCAAAGCACATTAATAGAAAGTTATGTGGAAGGGAAAAGTGTGGAAGAAAAAGGTGCACAAGCAGCAGGGATGACTGCAGCCTAGAGAGGATTGTCGGGAAAAGGCCATTCAAAAGTGTTGGGGACTTTCACAAGGAGTGGACTAAGGCTGGAGTCAGTGCGTCAAGAGCCACCACACACAGACGGATCCTGGACATGGGCTTCAAATGTCGTATTCCTCTTGTCAAGCCCCTCCTGAACAACAAACGTCAGAGGTGTCTTACCTGGGTTAAAGAAAAACAACTGGTCTGTTGCTCAGTGGTCTAAGGTCCTCTTTTCTGATGAGACCAACTTTTGCATCTCATTTGGAAACCAAGGACCCAGAGTCTGGAGGAAGAATGGAGAGGCACATACTGCAAGATGCTTGAAGTCCAGTGAAGTTTCCACAGTCTGTGTTGAGCCATGTCATCTGCTGATGTTGGTCCACTGTGCTTCATTAAGTCCAGGGTCAACGCAGCTGTCTACCAGGAGATTTTGGAGCACTTCATGCTTCCTTCTGCAGATGAGCTTTATGGGGATGCTGACTTCATTTTCCAGCAGGATTTGGCACCTGCCCACACTGCCAAAAGCACCAAAACCTGGTTCAATGACCGTAGGATTACTGTGCTTGATTGGCCAGCAAACTCGCCTGACCTGAACCCCATAGAGAATCTATGGGGCATTGCCAAGAGAAAGATGAGAGACATGAGACCAAACAATGTAGAAGAGCTGAAGGCCGCTATTGAAGCATCCTGGTCTTCCGTAACACCTCAGCAGTGCCACAGGCTGATAGCTTCCATGCCACGCCGCACTGAGGCAGTAATTGCTGCAAAAGGGGCCCAAACCAAGTACTGAGTACATATGCATGCTTAGACTTTCCAGAGGTCCGATATTGTTCTATGTACAATCCTTGTTTTATTGATTGCATGTAATATTCTAATTTTCTGAGATTGTGGATTTGGGGTTTTCATGAGCTGTAAGCCATAATCATCGCAATTATGACAAATCACAGCTTGAACTATCTTGCTTTGCATGTAATGAGTCTATCTCATATATTAGTTTCACCTTTTAAGTTGCATTACTGAAATAAATGAACTTTTGCACAATATTCTAATTTTTTGAGTTTCACCTGTACTTGATTACTCTTCAAAGGTGGCCAGCTTTATACTTTTAAATTCTGATATACTTTCATGTTTCCTTTGTGTGAAAAGACACAGACATTTAATACACACATATATACTATAAGACTGTCACATAGCGTATTAGATCATACCAAAATATTAGGACAATCATGACAATAATTATGGATTACAGAGTCCAGAGAAAGATGCACCTAAATTACAATATGTAATAATAGTAATTTGTATTATGGTTACAAGCCTGTGTTTATATGTTTGACTACAAAAAGGCATTTTTTTTGGAAGAGGAATGGAATATCTTATCACTTTGGGAGGGAAGGAACCCTTGAAGGTATATTTCCTGTAGGAATTGTTGTACAGTAGTAGAACAAGAAATGTGACTATACCAAAGCTAGTGAAACTAGCAGTTGTGTTGTTTGGTTTCCTGTGAAATCTCTTATCATCTGGGAAAAGAAAAGATGACGAAGAGGCTTTTCTAAAAGGAATCAAACTAAAATAAGTTTGAGGTACCCATCCCCAGAATCTTTACTTATTGATGATGCTGGGTGGGGCTGCTGAGTTGCGGTTCAAAAGCATTTGATAATGGGTCCTGTATTTTTTGTGGGGGTGACATACAATTGTACTTTTTATTGTCTCATGCCCAGATTCACCTTCAGTGAGATGGGAGGCGATAGAAATTTGGTCAACAAATAAATAATTCCTTTTTTCTCCTCTCTAGAGCATTGTTTCTCAATCATGGCAATTTTAAGATATGTGGACTTCCAACTCCCAGAATTCCCCAACCAACGTGGCTGGCAAAAGACTTCTGGGAATCTAGGCTGCTCTCAGATGTCTAGTGAATTCTGTGAGTTGAAGTCCACACATCTTAAAATACCCAAGTCTGAGAAACATTGCACCAGAGGCTGTTTATCAAAAGAAAACAATCTTGGTGTAGGGTTAGCCTTCAGCTTTAGGATTTCATGTGATTTCCCATCACCCTGATGCTGCTATTCTCATCTGCTGAATCCTTTGATACCCTTGAGTTGCATGTAAGTATGCCAATAGTACAGCTTTTGAAAGTAAGGATTGGCCATGTTTGCTTTTCTTAATCTGTTTTACAGCCCTTCCATCCAAGCATCCTGTAAACTCTAAATCAGAGCTAGTTGAATCCAATGGAGGGGTGTCCTGGAGGTCCTCATGCATGCAATATCACGCTTTTCTGGGCAGCAGCACAAAAATAGTTTATTTATTATCTTCTGGGAAATAGCACCGTAGACTCGTAGGATTTCCTGGTGGTGCTCCATCCGAGCCCAAACCAGATCTAGCCCTGCTCAGCAATTTCAAACTCAGCTGCAGGGCAGCACAAACTCTGCTGAGGACAGCACAGATGCTCTGTCTTGGCACTGCAATAGGTGCATGCATAGAGTGGTTAGCCCTCCTTTTTGAGCAGGATTTCTGTGTGGCCTCCCATCCCAGCAGCCCCTCGCCAATCACGACGTTGCTCCCTGCAGAGAAAGCAACCTCAATTGGTGCTTTCCAAAACACAGAATCCAAACCAGGCCCAACTAACGTCCCTGCCCCAGGAATCCTGAACTCTTTTAATATGGAAGGGCAGAAGAGGCTGAATCCACCTCCATCTTCCCTTGGCTCCGATGCGGGCGCCGCCCTGGCCACTCCCGGACTACAACTCCCATCCTCCTCGGCCGGCTGGGGGTAATGGGAGTAGTATTTCGGGAGGAGAAAGGCGGCGGCGGGGAGGTTTTATTACTTCAGCGCCCGCGGAAGAGGCTGCTTTCCTCCGCCTCTTCCTCGCAGGCCCAGCTTGCGGCCTGCTGCGGTTTCCATAGCAACGGATCCTTCCCTCGCTTCGCGGGCCGCCCGGAGAGGCCCAGGCCGGCCTCCGAAGACTCTGCTACCGCCATGCTCGTGCCGGTCTTCAGCCTGAAGCTCAACCACAAAATCCTGCCCCGCTGCGTGGCGCTGGGAAGGTACGACGGGACCCACCCGTGCCTGACAGCGGCCACGCAAGCCGGCAAGGTAGCCTGACTCTTCCCGGGGACCTGGAGCGCATGGGAGGGGGAGTCCCCGGCCTTGGACGGCCGCCCTCCGCCCCACTTTGCAGCCCAGCCGACGCTTCCTGGGCGTGTCGAGCTGGGGGGGGGGGGTCAATTTTATGTCGGTAGTAATTCCCCCGCCTGTGTTTGTATTGACCTATTTATTCCTGACTCGATAAATATAAATCCTAGGTTTATGCAGATTACAGTGCACATTTTATAAAATACATATTTGCATTTTATAATTTGCACGCCAAAACTATCAGATACAAAGACAGATTCTTCCCACCCCCCCACCTCCCCAAATGCTGTCATTGTGTTAATCTACTAATTCCCACAACACGGTCTGTGCCCTGGGGTGTCAAACCATCTAGTAGGACTGTTATTACTTACTATCCTTCTTATCTGTCCTATTATCTATTTCCTTAGATTCTTAATGACTATCACTTCTTGTATCTCATGATTTATGTTGATTGCTTTTATTTAGTATCCTATTATGATATCTGTTGATTGCTTTAGTATCCTATGACTGTCACTGAGTGTTGAATCTGTGATTTACGATGGTTGTATTTTATGATTATGATTGTCCCTTGTTGCTTGGACGTACAGTGAGAGCTTATGCACCGGAGACAAATTCCTTGTGTGTGTTCAGTCATACTTGGCCAATGAAGAGTTCTGTTCTATTCTATATTCTCTATTCCCATACGCATCCCTAAAATTTATTGGCTGCCCATCTTACTATAGGGTAACTGGGTGGTTTACAGTTACATATACAGTGAAAACATAAAAAGTTATGCTCTATTCCTATTCTATAAAATGGATGGGAGATGTGGGATGTAGTCAGCATTCTCCAATTTCAACCAGTTTCAGTTTGATGTATGTATGTATGTATGTATGTATGTATAGAGGGTCAGTGGGCAATGCACCTTCTGACCCTTTTCCATGGATGTGATGCATGCAACATGCATTTGAAAGGGGCAAAGTTTTGATTGGTTGCACCTTCCATTTTGGCCTGTTTCTGGCAGAAGCCTCTGGCCCTCATATTACCTGCGTATTTGTTGCTTATGTTGACAAATGATGATATATGTTATCTATGACAACGGGGACAATCAGTGGATCAGCTTGCCTGCAGAAGTTGTGGATGCTCCATCTCTTGAGATTTTCAAGAAAAGATTGAACAGCCATTTGTCTAGGAAGGTATAGGGTCTTCTGGTTGATCAGGGGTTGAACTAGAAGACCTTCAAGATCCCTTCCAACTCTGCGGAACTGTGTATCTACCATGGAGATGATGCCCTTAGAGATGGACACTATTCCTCAAAGAGAAGTTATCTACTGAATTCTCCTTTGAACTGCTACCAAATCTTTCCCTCCCTGAGGATGAAGCCTATAGTTTCTGGTTGTCCTCCTTCAGAGGACTTCTATCTCTCAAGGGTAAGCAGATTGCTACTCAGACACTATCACCTGGGGATACCCGATATGTAGGAATACATTGGATTGGAGACTATATTATTTTGGAATTATTGTGACTCGCAGAACTCATAATGAAAGGATTTGTATTGCTTCTAATGCTTTGTTTAATACCAACAGGTTTTTATTCACAATCCTCATGGACGTGGCCAGCACACAAATACAAACCGCTTGGCACTAAGTACCCATGATGCTGATATTTCTTTGCTGAACATCAATGAAGCCGTCAGTTGTTTGACTGCAGGGTTGTTGAACCCTGATCTTGGCTGTGATTCCCTCCTAGTTGGCACGCGGACCAGTTTGTTGGCCTATGATGTACACAACAATGCTGATTTGTTTTATGCTGGGGTGAGTTCATTTTTTGTTTTGTTTTTCCCCAGGATTACACATCAACAGCTGAATTTTTAAATTATTACAGTGCTCGAATACACCATCATTGAATTTTATTTTAAATTTACCTTCTTTCTATTTCACATATTTGTATACGGGGAAAAAAATGATAAACTTTGCAGAAAATGTGGAGGCTTCATAGAGGCTTCCATCACTAATTATTGGTGAAAGGATGTCTGGATGGTGTAATTTAAATCAATGAAATGTTAATACGCTTTCTCTGTCTCGCCCAACATCATCCTGAAATCTTTTCCCCAATGTGGGGACACATTTGTAAACATGGACTTCATTCTTGAAAGCTACCTTCTTAAATGAGAACGCATCTTTACCTCAAAATTCCTCATTGTTCATTATAGGAAAGCAGTAAGTCAAGGGCAAACTAATTCAAAGAAGACATCCAGCATTGTTGGTTGTTCTGCTGAAAAACTTCTGAGAAGTTTCAGAATATTGTAGTTTCCTGTAAAGCTAGCTTACATACTCTCTTTCAGAACATATAACTCTCTAGGGTGCTTGGTGCTGTCTGAACTTGATTTTCTGGTTGCAAATGTTTCAATACCCAACTAGGTAATGTCATCAGTGTGAGTATGTTTACTGTAAATATAGTTATCTCTGCCAGCATTGATGTGGGTGTGATTTTCTCCTTGGTAGTTCATTGATTAGGGCATTGTTTTCTGATTGCTTGGTGTTAATTCCAATTTATCTGGGTGTTGGCTCTGATGTATTCAGGTCTTGTTGTTTCCTTCTTTAGATTGTTTTATTATCTTGAATGGTATGTAAATATGATTTATTTATATGTTTTTATTGATAGTTGCCTTGTCTGAATGCCAAGCTTCCAGGAATATCCTAGTGGTTTTGGATTTAGCTTGGTCTGGCAGGGCAAGCCACTATATAGGAACAGAGAGCAAACCCCACAATCACTTGCATTGATAATGTTATCTAGTTAGGTAGTGAGATATCTGGAAGCAGACAACCAAACTCAAATTGCACTGTTCAACTCTGAGCTACACATATTCTCTCCTGTGAAACAAACCTACTTAGCAGGAAATGCAAAGTGGGTCCATCATTTGATCATTGGTTAGATATTATTATGAAATGGCTAAATTCTGTAACTTTAATAAAATAGAATTTGGTATTAGAATTAAAGTCTCTATAATACATGGCCTCTTTGCCTGCTTGGAGATGTCCTATGAATAGCAGGAAACTCCTGGTGAATGGATTTTGGTTCTCTTTTAGCCATGTAAGTAGATTTTTAGGGCTATTGGAGAACTCAGGACTGACACACTATATTACAATGTCTTATAGCTCCATCTACAACATATTTGGAAATATGAGTTTTTCAACACCCTATCCCTCAACTCAGTAATATTCCTCCCCAAACAAAACATGGCAACATATGTAGTTCTCGGCTTACAACAATTCAGTTAATGACCATTCGAAGTTGCAACAGCACTGAAAAAAGTGACTTACGATTGTTTCGCACCATTGTAGCATCCCCATGGTTACATGATCAAAATTTGGCTGCTTGGCAACTGGCCTGTACTTATGAAAGTTGCAGTATCCCAGGGTCATATGACCCCCTTTTGCGACTTTCTGACAAAGTCAAAGAGAGAAAGTAAGATTTGTTTAACAGCCGTGTTATTAGCTTAACAATTGCAGTGGTTCCCTTAACAAATGTCTTGTTTAGCGGAAATTTTGGGCTCAATTGGTTGTACGTCAAAGACTATCTGTAGCCGTGTTTTCCACTAGTCTGAATACAGTCGAGAGATCAGAAATGATGCCTGATTTACATAGTGAAAAGTCAATGACAGTTTTCCGCTGTTTTGGGGGGAAGCAGGTACTATTGTTGTTTTCTTGGCTTAAGGAAGTCATCATTTTGGGGGAGGGTGGGTGTTGAAATAGGAAACAACTAACATGCCTCCAAATCCTACAGATTCAGCTTTTATAGGTGGCTAACTATAATCTAGATGTTAATTATTTTCTTTGAAATTGATTATTTCCTTGTTCTATATGAAAGTTTTCTCTGTGTTTGGAGTAACTAGCAATTCATCTTTGAGGTGTATTTATTATATTCAGTATACCCTAATGGGGTATTATTTTACGGGTCAAAATTCGAAGTGAAATGGTACAGTCCCAAGTTTTTAGGATGCATGCTTTATGTCCCTCCAAAAGCGTTCCAAATTATTTTGGTTGGAATCAGGGAAGTTAGAATTCATTTTTGTCTTTTCAATTCATAATATAATGGTACACACCAGCTGGGCTTTAGGCATCATTAGTGGATGACAACTTTAGATCAACGTGGAGTAAGCCACTGGAAGGCTTTTTCCTGCCTTTGTTTTGTGTTTTAGGCTTTGCCTTGCTCAAAGAGTCGTTCAGCATTTGATCCAGGATTGTTTCTTCAAAGGGACAACAGTAATTTTCTAGCCCCTTCTGTGAAAGAAGTTTTATTCTTGCCGATTTCCTCTCCCGTGACAAAATACCGTTTATTTTGACTTGATTAAATGCCTTACCATCAGCCTTGCTAATGGGAAGTTATCAAACTTTTGACCAGTTCTGTAAGATAGTGAAGGTAGAAATGATACGTTTTGGGGGTCCCCCACCCCCCCGCATGCCTATTTTACAATATTTTTCCCTTTTAAAAGAAATCTTCCAGAGTTATATAGAATATTGCATGTTTAACTTTGCAGATCCAAACCTGAGCATTTCCAGGAGCAGAGCTGGTGATTAACTTCCACGCAGAGACTGACTGTTTGTAAGCGATAAGATATTCACGTAATCCTCAACTTACGATCACAATTGAGCCCAAAATTTCTGTTGCTAAGTGAGACATTTATTAGATGAATTTTGCCCCAATTTACAACCTTTCTTGCCATGGTTGTTAAGTGAATCACTGCAGTTGTTAAGTTAGTTACACATGTTTGTTAAAGGAATCTCCCTTCCTCCTTGACTTTGCTTGTAAGAAGGTCGCAAAAGGGATTCACGTGACCCTGGGTGTTATGGTTAGCTGGCTGCAGGTGTGGATGGCTGAGGAGAGCGAGGACTCTGATGAGGGGCCAGGACCATTAGGAAGTGGGCTGCTGCCTTCAGAGATTGTGGGGGCTGGCAGCAGCGATGAGGTTCCCGAGGAGGCTGTGCCAACTGCACGTGCATGCAGGGTTGCTTGCAGGAAAGAGCAGCTGCAGCAGCATGGGCGACTCCGGGAGTAAGGCTGCAAGGTAATGGACCCTCCTTCAAGAAGATAAAAGCCAGCTGTGAAGCGAATGTTCTTTGCAGGAAGCAAAGACATTTTGAAACTCAGCCTCGTGGACATTACAGTATCTCAAGTTCGTATTTGAAGACTTGTGTTGTGAAATATTTCTTATCTGTTATTCTTGGCAGCCTTGCACAGTTTTGACGAGACTCGTGCTTATCAAAGTTAATTAGTTTGCAGCAGCCTTTTAACCAGGGATTCGTAAGAATCATTAAAAGGTTTCTGTTCGCTTTGGTTCGTGTTTGTTTTATTGGAAAAGGGTTTGGGTCAGAACACCAGGACACTGCAGCCGTCATAAATATGAATCAGTTGCCAAGTGTCCGAATTTTGATCACGTGACCATAGGGATGCTGCGAGAGTTGCAAGTGTGAAAAACAGTCATAAGTCACTTTCTTTCAGTGCCATTGTAACTTTGAACGGTCACTAAATGAACTGTTGTAACTTGAGGACTACCTGTACTGTGCTAGGTAGAAGGCTTTGGAAAGCTGAATGCGTTTGTTTATTTGCTACACTAATTATGTTGTTATCCATTCCGTTGTGTCTGACTGTTGGCAATTCAATGGGCCAGGTGGTCTCTCCACATCGTCTGATCTTGCACACCTTTTCTGTTCTATGCTCAGGCTGGTGTCAGCTTTGACGGTCTCCAGCCACTTGGTTCTTTGGCGACTTGGTTTCCCCTTCCAAGCATAATTGCTTTCTCCAGTTAATTCCTTTGCATGACATGGCCAAAGTAAGTGAGATGCAGTATCATGACTTTGCTTCCAGTGACATGCCTGGTGTTATGCGCTCCAGTCCTTGTTCGTTGCTCACCTTTGCTGTCCAAGGAAGGCGCAGGCGCCTTCTCCAACACCACAGCTCAAACGAGTCAATTTCCTTCCTGTCTTGCTTTTTTAAGGTCCAACTTTCATGGTGTAGCAAATACACTGTGTTATGTTTTTGCTAAACATAACATAGTATAGCAAAAACGTAGCATAGTGTATTTACTAAACTATATTGTGTTTATCTTTAAAAACATTCTCTGAATTGCTCTAGCTCTAGAAATTGTGGAGAAACGTCTGAATGCTCCAGTTTATCTCACATATTTTTCTTGATATCTTTATTTGCAGGTAAATTGATTTCTCTGTTGTTTCCCTCAGGTTCCTGATGGAGCCAACTCCATAGTCGTAGGAACATTGGGAGACATTTCCTCCCCCTTAGCAGTAATTGGCGGGAACTGTTCCTTGCAAGGCTTTAATTATGAAGGGAAAGATCTGTTCTGGACGGTGAGTGTGCATATATTATAGGGTTTTATTTATCTTCCTAACAAAAACTATTATTATTTCCATTTTATAAAGGGAGTGCACTGATCATTTCAAGATTAAACATGGAGTGTTGTGGCTAAAATAACTTGCCAAGGCTTGTGGGATATAGTCAGGCATGATGGAAGGGAAGGTTGCGTCGAGTCTTTTCCTCTCTTGTTTCCCTGAAAATATGACCAACCCTGAAAGTAAGTCCTAGCTTGATTTTTACACGTGTGCCCAAAATAAGCCCTAACCCCAAAATAAGCCCTATTCAAGATCCCACCCACTCCAGAATGGACGGGTAAAAATTAAGCTAGGGCGGGGATGGGGTTGGGGGAGCTTTCCTACTACTTACCTTTGGACAGTTGTGTAGCTAGGCTTCACATACTCCAACACCTGCCTTGCTGGCCCATTTCTTCTGCAGCCAGCAAGGCTGGCAAAGCTTTCCTGAAGGCCTCTGTAGCTGATAAGAAAGCTCTGGATCGATCCGGAGCTCTGTTACCCGTTGCAGAGGCCTTCAGGAAAGCCTTGCCAGCTGCAGAAGAAGAAGTTCCTGAAGGCCTCTGGAGCTGATAACAAAGCTCTGGATCGATCCGGAGCTCTGTTTCCGGCTGCAGAGGCTTTCAGGAAAGCCTTGCTGGCCACAGAAGAAGAAGTTCCTGAAGGCCTCTGACAGCGAAAAGGAGGCCGGGGGTGACGCACGCAAGTGAGGTTAGTCAGTGGATGACAATCTCCCAAAATAAGACCTGGTGCCTTTTTTTGGCAAAAATAGATATAAGACATTATTTTCGGGAAGACACGGTATCTACTGTATTGCTCCTGATCTTTGGAGCCTTGTGAAGGCCGTTTCCTTAGGAATTTCTCTGTAGAGCAAGGAGATGAGAGAAAAATTCTCCGAGACACTTCGAGAGGTTCAATATTATGTGAGCCACGAGTCTTTTTCTCTGAATGGATGACGTTTTGAAAAGGACACAGATAAAATAATATTCTCAACTTACAATCCTCAACTTACAATCCCAATTGAGCCCAACATTTCTGTTGCTAAATGAAACATTTATTAATCCCACCAACATTGATAAGGCCATTAGAATATATAGTGAGAGCAAACTCCATCCTTTACTAGCGCTGATGATGTTGCCAAGTTTGGTAATGAAATATCTGCAAGAAAGCCACAAAGCTTGGAGTACACCAAAGCTTTTGACGCTGTATGCCAAAATACTTAGCATCTTTTAATTTTTTTCTGATGTTACTTCTCTTTTGTCAGACTAAACTAAGAAATATTTTTTTTAAAATATATAATTATAGGTCACTGGTGACAATGTCCACGCTCTAGCCCTCTGTGACTTTGACGGTGATGGGAAAAAAGAGGTATGTTTTTGGCAAGTGGCATGTGCGTGAACTTCCATTCCATTGCACTACTGGCACAGGTAGTCCTTGACTTACGACCACCATTGGGCCCAAGATTTCTGTTGCTAAGTAAGACATTTGCTAAGTGATTTTCGCCCCAATTTACAATCTTTCTTGTCACGCTTGTTAAATGAATCACTGCGGATGGTAAGCTAGTAACATGGTCATTAAGTGAATCTGGCTTCCCCTTTGACTTTGCTTGTCAGAAGGTTGCAAAAGGGGATCCCGTGACCCCAGGGACACGGCAACCGTCATTAATATGAGTCAAGCGCCAGGCGGCTAATTTTGATCACATGACCATGCGGATGTTGCAACAGTGTGAAAAACGGTCACAAATCACATTTCTCGGTGCCCGTTATAACTGTGAACGGTGTGTAAGTTGAGATCTGCCTGTAGTTCATATCGCATTCGTTGTATTTTAGACACTTGAGGGATTACAGTACTGTTGGAATGGTTTGGGGTTGAAGACAAGTTTGAAAACTATAATCACCCATATTGGAGCAGGTGGATTTTTGAAGAAGATCTCAATTAATGCTTTTATATTTTCAACTGAAGAAAATATCCAAGTGTCTAGTCATTAGAAGAAGCTCCCTGAATGGAAACCCACGAGGCCTTCTGAGTTCAGTCCGAGCACACAGCTTCCTTGGTTTCAGCACGTGCACTACATCCCTCTTTGCTTTTTAGAGCTAGCACCAATTCTCTTGGTTCATGTATGTCCCAGGAGACATTCCTTGTCTGGCTAGTTGGGATGACATGCCCTGAGGGCTTTCCCAGCGCAGTCTCCTCCCAAACCAGGAATGCAAGACGATTTGCTGGAAGGGCCATGCGTGTAAGGACAAAGAACTGCTCTCATGTGGCCCCAGGCGAGGGGAGTCGATCCTTTTAATCCCAAACCATATTTTGCATGCCCTAAGTCAGTGTTTCCCAGTCCTGACAACTATAAGGCATGTGGATTTGAACTCCCAGAATTCCCAAGCTAGCATGCTGACTAGGGAATTCTGGGACTCCAAGTCCACACATCTTAAAATTTCAAGAGTTGAGCAATACTGCCCTAAGTTATATTTACTCTTGGGATGATGTGCAGCTTAGTGATTAAAACTGAAGTTTGATCTAGGATATACTTCAGCAATAATTGTAGGACTTGAAAAATAGGTCAACCAAGACAGTTTTTCCTGGTTCCTTACATCATAAATTGGACTGTTCATCTAATCAGGAGATAACTCCCTGATCTTATCTACAGCACTTTCTAGAATACAGTATGTCTGTGGAGATTCTCAGTCATGCAGGTCTTAGTTGTCCCAAATATGTTTTTTCAAGAGGCAATTGTTTTTTCTTGAAGATGTTTCAGCTCCTGAACTGAAGAAGTTTCTTGGATGAGAAGTGAAATGTCTTCAAGGAAAAATCAGTTGCCTCTTGAAAAAGCCCCTTTGGGATTTTCTAGAATATATTTTAGTATGCTGCATTGAAGCTATGAGTTGGTCAGCCTTCCTGTGCTGATGCTCTCAAATGTTTTTGGCTTCAACTGCCATCATTCCTAACCATAAACCACTGAGATGTCTAGAAATCAACAAGCCAGATCATGTTAATATTTCTCCTGTTTTGGCAGCTAGAAGAGCAAATTAATGGAAATAAAATATGGCCTGTTAAATGCTTCATGGTTTCCCTCTCTCTCTTTTCCCCCCTCTACCCCAAATAGCTTCTCGTTGGATCTGAGGACTTTGATATTAGGGTTTTTAAAGAAGATGAGATTGTGGCAGAAATGTCTGAGACTGAGGTAAGTGGGGAGAAATTAAACACTAAAATTATGTGATTATTCAGTTTAGTGTGATTCAATTTAGATAGAAAGATTGGAGACATACTGTATAAAGTTTTGGAACCCTTTTGACCATAAAACAGTCTTTAAATAGATGAAAACCACATTTTATCCCTCAGCATATTCGAAAGTTTCCTCTAGGCCTGTAATGCTTTTTTCCTGGTAGCTGAACTCCTTTTAACAGGTTAATGGAAATTGGATGTGAATCAAATAATTTCATTCAATAACAAATGAAAGACTTGGAAAGTGGATTCAGGAGAAAGAGATAATAGTGGCAGCAGTAATTTATTATTATTATTATTATTATTATTATACACTGGAGTGCGATGTCGCCTTTTCCAGAAGATTCTGTGTCTTCCTTCAGTCCGTTAAGGCTCATTCAAGAGGAAATCTGAAACAGGAATAGAGATAATCCTCAACTTATAATGATTCATTTAGTGACTGCTCAAAGTTACAACGGCACTGGAAAAAAATGACTTAATGACCATTTTTCACAGGATCGCTGTAGCATCCCCATAGTCACATGATCAAAATTCAGACGCTTGGAAACTGTCTCGTATTTATGACGGTTGCAGTGTTTCGGGGTCACATGATCCTCCTTTTATGACCTTCTGACAAGCAAAATCAAAGGGGAAGCTAGATTCACTTAATAACCATGTGACTAACATAACCATTGCAGGGATTTACTTAATAACTGTGGCAAAAAAGGTCTTAAAATGAGGCAAAGTTCACCTAACCACTGTTTCACTTAGCAACAGAAATTTTGGGCTCAATTATGGGTGTACCTCAAGGACTACCCATCGCTTTAGTTTTACAGGGGAAACAGATAAAAACTTCAAACTGAGGAGAGTAAAATTCAGGGTGAAAAATGTCCAGAGTTTGCTTTCTTTGTTATGTCAACTAAGGGAATATAAAAATGGTTGTTCTAGGAGGAACAAAATGGTTGTCCTTGTTTTAGTGATGAGTCATTATTAATATTTAGATTTACCACAGTCGACCACTCTAGTGGACTCTGGGCTGCTTACAAAATCTAATGAATAATTGCAAGTATTAAAAATATAAATAAGGTCGTCCAGACTAAAAACTACATTAAAACTGAGCAGCACAGCACCCCCTCCTCAAGGCATTAACCCCAAGCCTGGGACCAAAGCCAGGCTAGCTTAGAGGTATTAGAGGTAACACAGCCCCTGGGTTTGCCACAGCTGTCTCAGTGCCCTTCAAGTTTGGTGTGCAAGGAAGGTGTTGACCAGAGATGTGAACTACAAGTCCAGAAGGTAAAGCTTATTAGGGCATGCCCCCAAGTCACAAAGATTGAGAATTAGTTCCTTACCCAAGACGTGCCACTCTGAAATATCTTGTTTCATTAATGCAAAGACACCATTGGGTCAAAAATGAAGAATAGGGCACCACTGTGTTAAATGTCCTTCTTTGGTGACAGAAACCAAGATCATTTCTAAGATGATATAATGCAGAAAACCCTCACATCAAGAGCTGCCCAAACCCTTCCCTTCCCATCATCCCATCGGTCTTTTTCTCATTCACTTTTCCTCCAGTTCTCTATCCCTGCCTTGTAGAGTCCCTTCTTTGTCTTTTGCCATGCGAAATGATTGATGTCCTTGCTTGTTCACTGCCTCCCCTAAACCGTGCCTTGCGGAGAGGCCCTCACAGGAGGATGGATAGACTCCACTGTCTTCCTCACTTTCCCTCTTTCCTCCATCTTTAGACCACCCAAATCTCCTGCCACCTCTTGCCAGGCAGCATTCTTAGCATCTGCAAAAGGAAACATCTTGGCGACCACCAGTTGGAGAAACTCTGGTTTAGAATGACAGAGTTCAGTATTTTGGGAGTTGAGGGCTACACTAGATTTTCCATAGCAAGATGGGAAGCATACTCCAAAGAGAGGCAGGGCCAGGTCAACCATTAATTCAGATTTAACTGAAATGCATTTAAATTTAATTAAAACTAATTGAGATGAATTATGACTGCCGGTGTGATTATTCATTTCCTTTGTTTGTGGCATTCAGATTTAGTTTGATAGCGACTTCAGAGGGCCTTGTGAGGGCTGCACTAAGGGCTTTTAAGGGCTATGTATAACCTGGGGCTCCAGGGCTCCAGGTTGGGCATCCTAGGTTTAGGAACACAAACAGGTATTTGTATTCTGCAGGCTTATTCAGTCAGACAGTGCTGTAGCAACACAACATGCTATTCCTCAGACTTAAGTTGCTGCCAGAAAAGCCAATGCAGTAGTTTCAAGATCATGTGAAGTGTTAGTCCCACTGGGTAGACCACACTTGAAATACTGTGTCCAGTTTTGGTCACCACGGTATGTTGAGATTCTAGAAAGAGTGCAGAGAAGAGCAACAAAGATATTAAAGGGTTTGGAGGCTAATGATGAAGGATTAGGGGACTGGGCGTTAAACCATATGATGAACAGTTAAGGGAACTAGCTATGTTTAGCTTAATGAAGAGAAGGACTAGGGATGACAAGTACTAGGCCTTCTAGTACTTGAGGAGCTATCACAGAGAAGAGGAAGTTAACCGACTCTCCAAAGCACCTGAGGGCAGGACAAAAAGTAAAGGATGGAAGCTTATCAAGGAGAGATCCAACCTAGAACTAAGGAGACATTTCCTGACAAGGAGAGCAATTAATCAGTGGAACAGGTTGCCTCTAAAGGTTGTAGGTGCTCCATCACTGGAGGTTTTCAGAAGAGATTGGACAATCATTTGCCTGGAATGAATAGCATCCCCTGTTTGAGCAAGGGGTTGAACTAGACCTCCAAGGCCCCTTCCAATTCTGTTCTGTATTCTAATATAATGCAGAGAGAGAGAGGGAGAGGGAGAGAAAGAGAGAGAGAGAGAGAGCACTTGCAAGGCAGCTCTTACTGTAATGACAAAGGAATTTAAACAGTTCTGATTCTGCCGCAAACTACTTAGAATGAAGTGGTGGGCCTTATGTGATTCAAGAAGTCTGCTGTGGGGGAAAGTCTGCTTTTGGAAGTGGGATAAAATATTTTAACCCCAAAGCAACTTTAAAAACAGTTGGGAATGTTCCAAGAGATAACATCGCTATATCGTGGTGGGAAAAACATGTCCTAATTTCTACCCAGTGTAACGGGTTAGTAACAATGACCGTTTGGGCAAGCAGAAAGCCAAATGCTGAAGAGGCTCTGAAAGAAGTCTTGAATTCCTCGTCTGTAGGCCTGGGCTGGAGAAGGGCCAGATGGCTTCTGCCCAGCGTCCTTGGCAGGGTAGAAGGCTCCATTATTTATTCATTTCCATTTTATAGACCAGCCTGTACCAATATAATTGTACAAATTACATGCAAAAATCTAAAAAGCATATATTATGAAAATAAAACTGTAGAGTCCACAGCAAAAAGGAATCCTGATGTAATATATCTCAAGAGTACTAAATATGTAGGGAAAAAAATGGGAAACAAAACTTTCTGTTTAGCGTTGGAAGGAACATAACAGGGGCCGATGAGTTTCTTTGAGCTGCAATCAAAAGGCCTGTTCTTGGTCTCTTGGACCTTTTGGGGAGCAGACTTGGCAAAGGCCCCCAAGAAATAGAAATGGGATCTGGAGACATGTTTACGTCTGTACAAGGAAAACAGGCAGCCTTAAAAATGAAATAGGTAGTCCTCCACATACAGCTATTTGTTCAGTGACCATTCAAAGTTACAGGGGTACTGGGGAAAAAAAGTGAATTATGCTTGGGATGTTTGGCAACCAGTGTGTATTTATCATGGTTGCAACATCCCAACATCATGTGATCGCCATTGGGACTTTCTCAGTCAGCTTCTAAATAAGCAAAATAAGTGGGAAAGCTGGATTTACTTAACAACAGTGTGAGTCACTTAACAACTTTAGTGATTCACTTAACAACTGTGGCAAAAAAAAAGGTTGTAAAATCAGGCACCACAAACTTAACCACTGCCTTCCTTAGCAAAGAAAGTTCTGGCCCCAATTGTGGTTGTAAGCTGAGGACTACTTTTACTCCCATGAGCTGGTAAAACATAAATTTTACAGAAAATCTATCTCGGATTGGAGAATTTTCCCAGACTATCTTCACAGGCATCCTTTGCAATTCACCGTAGCAATCCAAGTGAGAAGTGATCCGAATGTGGAGAGCTGCAGCTCCTCCTCTCTAGGTAGGATGGCAGTTGCTAACTTAGTCTAATGTAATTAGATGCTGGGAGCCTCAAATAGTTAACCTGGGTGGAGTGAGAGGCACTAGCTTTCCATCTGTGAGACACACACCACCCGCAGAGTCCCAGGTTCGTGGATTTTTCTTACGCAAGCTGTTATCTACAGTCACTTACTGCAAAGAAATTGTATTCCCCCCCCTCTCTCCCCTGTCTCTTCTGTCTCTATGTGCGTGTCTTTCTTTCTCCCTTTTTCTAGCTCTCTGCCTCTCAATCTTTCTGTCTCTGCAAATGCCATTTCCCAAGGTGACTTAAGACTGTCTGCTCCAAGACCAAGGAAAATAGATGGAGAATCAGTTTTATCTAACATTATATAGGGGAGCACAATGGATCAGCTGTTAATGACACTGAGCTTGTAACAGCTTTCCAGCTGACAGCCCTGGATCAAAACCCGGGCGCAGCGCGACGGTAAGCTTGCCCCAGTTCCTGCCCACCTGAGCAGTTCAAAAGCATGCAAATGCAGGTAGATAAATACGTACCACTTCGGTGGGAAGGTAACAGCGTTCTGTGCATATAGTCATGCTGGCCACTTAACCAGGGAAATGGGTTTAGACAACGCTGGCTGCCTCAGCTAAGAAACAGAAATGAACATCACCCCTAGAATTGAACATGACTGGACAGGGGAAACCATTATCTTTAACATTGTTTAGAGTTCAGTTCAGGGTTCATAGATGTGCTAAGTCCTCAGTGCCATGCAAAAGTGGGATAAGACAGACTTCCTGGGCAGGTTTTTTTTTTGCAGAACTCTGCTTCAAATAGCTGCCTTGGATTACAGCACCCATCATCCTCACTCACTTGGTCAAGGGTGTTTATGTGACAAAGCTAATCAGAAACAGGAGGGGTGCATGTAATTTTTGGCATCCACATGCTCTAATCATAGCCTCCTTATATTTTCCTTTTTTCATGAAGTATTCAGGTTTCTGGAAATGTTGGCAGGGTACTTGGTGACTTATTTAACCCAGTGTGCGAATAGGAAATGAGGTTGTGTCTCTGTTTGAACATTGTCTGCAGAGATGACCTGCAGAAGAGCAAAAAAGGGAAAAAAAACATGGGGTGGTTGGTGCTTTCTGAGCTTGGTGGTTTTCTTGCAGATGTTTCATTACCAAGCTAGCTAACACCCTCAGTGGACTAGGTAACATCACTGATGATGTTATGTAGCTTGGCAATGAAACATCTGCAAGAAAACTACCAAGCTCAGAGAACACCAACACCTCCAGAGTCCTTCTCCTCCTCCTCTCTGCAAACTCCACTCCCTTCTAGAATTGATGATGTTACCTAGCTGGGTCATGAAATGTCTGCAAGAAAACCAAGAGAACACCAATGACCCCACTGAGCTACAAATATTCTCTTTTAAAGAAGGACACCCTACTAAAAGCTTTCCCACCTGAAAGTATGACCCACAGACATATTTTGTAGGCAAGTAAAAGGGCTTCTGCTAACTTGACAATTTGGAGGTGTTATGGGCCTTCAACTCCTGGAGTTACCAGCTTTGGATGTCACTGAAATAGAGAACAAACATTGTCCATGGATGGAATTTTGGCTTTAAACACACCAAGATAGAAATGGGTTCCCCTTTTGGGGGGGAGAATAATTTGGTGCTGTTGTTAACATTTAATTATAACATGGAATGTCATTCCTGCTCCAACAAGCTCTCCAGCCAATTTGCCAGTGGGGGAAAAAAAAATCTGTTTTGGGGAGGTGTTACCTCTGTTTCTTTTATTGATTGCAGTCTTAGTTTGTTTAGTAATTTTTGTAACGTTCGTTCTTACATCTTAAGTTCACAGGGCTTGGCACAAGTGGTTTATTTTGCTTTTTATTGGTGTTCGGCGATCCACCCATGAGTGCTCGTGCAAAACATATATTCCCAAGAGACACAAATTAAACAATACTGAGGCTAGGAATTCATTCCAAATATCAGATCTAAATAGTGTTTGCAGTCTTTCTCAATAATCTACCTGGTGACCCCCCCAACGTAGATCTGTAATATATTTTAGGACACAAAAGTTTATTTGTTTTTAAACAGTTGAGAATCTGGGCGGTTTCGTTTCAAAGCCAGGAGATCAAGATTAGCCTTTTTATACTTCTTATAAAGAAAAAGGTTGCTTGCATTATAGACCGGCTTACAACCACAATTGAGTCCAAAATTTCTGTTATTAAGTGAGACTTTTGTTAAGTGAGTTTTGCCCCCTTGTATGACCTTCCTTGCCACCATTGTTAAGTGAATCCCTGTAGTTGTTAAGTTAAGTAACGCAATTGTTACACGAATCTGCCCAGTGGTGGGATTCAAAAAAATTTACTACCGGTTCTGTGGGCATGGCTTGGTGGGCGTGGCAGGGGAAGGATACCTGCAAAATCCCCATTCCCTCCCTACCCCACTAACCTGCTTTCCAGCTCTGTTCTCCTGTGCAGGACAACCAAAGAAGACCCAGACAATCAGCTGGAACTCAATGGGAGGCAGAGAAGAGATGGGGTTGGCGGGGCCAGTCAGAGGTGGGATTGGCCGGTTCTCTGAACTGCTCAAAATTTCCGCTTCTGGTTCTCCAGAACTGGTCAGAACCTGCTGAATAACCACCTCTGAAATCTGCCTTTCCCCATTGACTTTGCATGTCAGAAGGTCACAGAAGTGATCACATGACCCCGGGACACTGCAACCGTCATAAATACATGCCAGTTGCCAAGCGCCTGAATTTTTTTATCGCATGACCATAGAGATGCTGAAAAGGGTTACAAGTGTGAAAAAGAGTCATAAGCAGGGGTGGCATTCAGCCGGTTCGGGCCGGTTCAGGAGAACCGGATGTTAAAATTTACATCTGGTTCGCCGAACCGGTAGTTGAACCAACTGGCTGGTCCTGCCCACCCCTCCCCTGCCCTCCCCTCCCCTCCCGGGAGTCTCCATATGGCCCATTTTGGGTGGAGGTAAGTGCAGGGTCTGCGCGGTGGATGAAAAACGGCCTTCCCAGAAATTCCGGAAGTCCGGAAACGGGCCTGTTTCCCGGCTTCTGGAGGTCCTCCAGAGCCTGGGGAGGCTGTTTCCGCTCTCCCAGAGGCCCGAGGGAAGCCTCTGGACTCTGGGGAAGGTGAACAACGCCCCTCCCGGAAGGTCCGGTAGGCCACGCACACCATGGCCACACCCACCCACCATCTGGGCCGAGAACCAGTTATTGGGATTTTTGAATCCCATCCCTGCTCATAAGTCCCTTTTTTCAGTGCCTTGTAACTTTGAACAGTCTCTAAATGAATTGCTGTATCTTGAGGATTACTCGCATTGTATTTTCTTTCCAGAAGGATCACACAGCTCGGAAGCCGTAGAGTTGGGTGTTGTTGTTTGTTTTTTTGAAAATGAAAACAGTATTGGTCTAGCAAATGTTGTTGTATGCTCTAGTTAGTAGTGTGATATTACCTGAGAAAAAGCTACGCAGGATTAGGTTTACAACTCTTAATTCCTTTTTGGCCCGGAGAAATTACCCCTCTTCTGGGCTGCCCCTCCTCCGCTGCTCTCTCCCTTGCATTGGTTCTAGTACAGCAGCTTCAAGCTAATTTGAAATGTGGAAGAAAAACTTCGGCTGCTTCCAGATTAAGGGCTTTTAGGGCTAACAAAAATGATTAGGGAATATTCTTATTTCCCCAGCCACCTACTCCCTCTTTCCACAGTAAAATCAGACAGGGAAGAAGGCAGTGGGAAAAATGCTTGGTGCATATTAGATGGAAATCATGACATCTGGAGCCCTTGTAAAGTTTTGTGAACGATGTCAAGCGAATAAAATATGAAATAGACTAAATCACAATGATACATCTCATAGCCTTCCACATCACAGCTGGATTCAGCACTAGCCAAATCTTTTCAGTGCAGGTGTTGGTACTGGAAAGTATTATTGAGTATTATTAAGACTGGGCCCTTGCCAAACCAGGCCTATTTAAATGGGCAACTTATAACTGCCAATTTCAAAATGCCATGGCAGCAACGGTAATTGTCAATGTCAAAATGCCATGAAACTGCCAATATCAGTCTGATTTAGCCGAAGGCAGTTTTATTCCATAGAAATAGTTGGCTTAATTATTTAGTTCAGCAACAGCTGTTAACCTTTCTTTCTTCGTTTCCCAGATCATCACTGCCCTAACCGCGATGAGCCCCACTCGTTTCGGCTACGCACTTGCTAATGGCACGGTGGGCATTTATAACCAGGCAGCACGATACTGGAGAATTAAAGTTAGTATGATCAAATTGGAGACTTCAGAACAGCTGGAATGTCCAGCACCAAGAAATGTATATTTGACTTTGCTGGGAGTCTACAGAGGAAGTCCAAAAGGTCCGGATGGCAAGTCACCACCATGGAATTGAACTCCCTGTCTTTTTATGTGCATCAAGGGCTTTCATCCTGTGGTTGTCTTCTTTTTAGTATTGCCACGACATGGATGTTCTTCTCCTTTTTTCCTTTCCTTCTCCCACTCCACCTCCTCCTCTTCCATTCAGTTTGGACACTGTCCAGTTCTGATTGGGTGATGTAAACAAACACAAAAGGACTCACTGGAGAAGAGCCGAATGCTGGGAAAGATTGAGGGCAATAGAAGGGGATGATAGAGAATGAGGTGGCTGGATGGAGTCACCGAAGCAGTTGGTGTGAGCTTAAATAGACTCCGGAAGATGGTAGAGGACAAGGAAGGCTTGGAGGAACGTTGTCCATACTTTGCAACTAACAGCAACAACAAAACAAACACAGAGGCCTAGAATGTATGAGTTGGGAATGATTTTTTAGTTCATCTGTTACAACATTTTTATTCAAGGTTTAACATTAATCAGGCATTCAGTGTGATGCAGAGGTAGCCCCATGCTGTTTAACTGATTTGGTTAAGTCTGCTGGATAAACCTGTCAAGTGGCATATAACCACTTCTCAGTGCTGATTTCAAAGCACTGTAAATGTCAAGTGCAGGAAAACAGGAGTCCAGACGGTTCAAATTAATATATAGGTTGAATTGTATGCTAAAGCTCTCTATAAAAATCTGAACTACTAACAGTCAAAACAAATTGGTGGTAGATAAGAGTCAATGGAATTCAAGGAAGGCCGGACTTAGATCTCTTGTGGGCATGAAGGGACTCAAGTCTGATGACGTGTTTGACCCCTCCCTCAGGCTCAATCTGGTTATCTCCTACAGAAAGGTTTATTAATGCTACCTATACAAAAGAATTTGGTCAATTAACGGTCAAAGCTAAATTGGTGCTAGAGTCATCAGAATTCAGGGGTGGGGGATAGACTTGGATCTCTTGTGGAGACATAATGACTCCAACTTATGACATGTTTAACCTCACCTTCAGGCTCAATCTACTCTTCTCCTAGCCATCGTCTTCTTGTAGGTGAGATTCTAAACTTGCTTTGTTGAGAATGTCAGAATCTTGACAGACACGTAACTGGTAGCTCTAAAGAAGTTGAAGATCCAACTCAAGTGGTGTAGGATATCACTTTGGGACAAAAACTATTCAGAGAAAATAAGTGTCACCTTTTCATATGTCTGAGGTCTTTCATTCTTGCTGCAACTCTGTAGGATAGTTTCAAGGAGTCAAGACAGAATCTAGAGTCAGAGCTGTTTATTATCTTGATTATTCTCCTGTGTTAGTATCTCTAGATGTGTGAAAATGTTAGGGCTAGTACCAAGAAGTATTAATGGATACTTGCGGATGGGTTCATTGGAAGAAGCTTGCTGCCCTATGTACTTTGTGTGAAAGGGACCAATAATGCTGATGAGTACCAAGAAGTGACATGCTCGCTATCCATTTTTCTCCCTAGTCTAAAAATCAGGCGATGTGCATCAGTGCTTTTGATATTAATTCCGATGGCGTCTGTGAATTGATAACTGGCTGGTCCAGTGGGAAGGTAAGTTTAAAGAAGATTGTATTTAACTTTCCTCCCTGCTTCTTTCCTAAAGATTAAACTGTTGGGCTGGTTTAGATTTCTGCTAGCATTGTTGGAATAAATCAATGGCTGCCACCAGAACAAATGGACCCTATTAGGCTGATATGAAGAGGCAGTATTTAGTTTGGCTATTTTCTTAAAATTGCTTTGCCCTTTTTCAGATTGTGTGTGCTTGCAGATCATGGAATAACTGCTATGGAACTAAATATACAGAAGGAAAAAGAAGGATTAGGTTGTGAACTAGGGGTTGTTCTAGATTTCTAACATCTGTTTGACTTAGAAGATTGACATAAAATGTATATTCTTTATTTTTAAAAAATTGATCTTTGGTCTTTCCACCTTTGAATGCTGTCTGGGGAATGTCTGTGTTGCAGATTGACGCACGCAGCGATCGAACAGGGGAAGTCATTTTCAAGGACAACTTTGCTTCTTCCATCGCGGGAATCGTGCAGGGAGATTACAGAATGGATGGAAGTACGCAGTTAATCTGCTGCTCGGTTGATGGGGAAGGTAAAATGCCTTTGCAGATTCAGGGCTCTTTTCATTTATGAGGAGTGGAAACAGTGTGAGTGGCTGCACTAAAGCAGAAAGGTTCTGCTGCCCCGAGAACAAGCCTGATCTTTCAAGCCGTAGCTAAGACAAGGATCTGGTGTGTGTGTGTGTATGAGTGAGAGAGAAAGAGAGAGACCCGGGCTCTACTTTTGGGGGCTACCTCTCCTTCCTCACAGGTCCTGTCTTCCTTCCCAGGGCTGCGTTCCCATGTTCAAGATGCGTGGCGATGGGAGAGCTCGGTGTCTGGTAGCTTTCCTGGTTGCTCTTACCTAAGGGACTTCACTCGGCTCTGAATTCAGATAATGTTGTCTTACTCCATCCCAACCTGCTCAAGTAGGCAAGCCAGAGGTGGTTATTCAGCAGGTTCTGACCAGTTCTGGAGAACCGGTAGCGGGAATTTTGAGTAGTTCGGAGAACTGGCCAATCCCACCTCTGACTGGCCCCACCAACCCCATCTCTTCTCTGCCTCCCATTGAGTCCCAGCTGATTGGCTGGGTCTCCTTTGGTTGCCCTGCACAGGAGAACGGAGCTGGAAAGCAGGTTAGTGGG